TCATCATCATCATCATCATCATCATCATCATCATCATCATCATCATCCACATCCCACCATGTCTCATCCCATGGATTGTCCGGGAACTACCTCAGGGTGTAGGTCTCGAAGCACGAATCTGTCGGTTTTTTGCAAGAGCTTTTGGACTGGGTTTCAGAAGCTTGCAGGTGCTGGAGCGCCTATCACATGCAATAACCGATGTGCGAAAAGCACAGTATTGTTGGGCAATGCTTGGAAGGCAAAGCGCTGCCATTTTAGCGCCATGTTTCATCTACTTGAGCTTACATGTTGTTGTTGTTGTTGTTGTTGTTGTTGTTCTCCCACATGGATTTGTTGTTCTCCCCCCCAAGTTCGCCTCCTCTTCCGCTAGAGCAGCTTCTTCGCACCCAAACACCGCGGTCACCTGACTCGTCGCCGAACACGACGGCGCAGACCGCCGACTTCGATGGGAGCGGGACCTTGGACCGTGAAGAATTCGTGGAGATTTGTCACTGGGCTTGGATTTGTCGTGAAGAAATCGGAAGAAGAAGGCAGAAAGAGCTGGGTGTTTTTGGGTGTTTTGGGGTGTGAATAACGTATTGTATGGAAGGTCTTGTATTTGTAAAGTGTGTTTGCAAGCGTATTTGTATGGGAAGGTGTTTGGAAGTGTGTGTTTGTAAAGTCTTGGAAGGATGTTGATGTCGATGTTGAAACAGTTATGGCGTTGTTCATGCCTTTCCCGTGGTTGATAAACACTTCGGGTCAAGGAGGAATCCTGTCCTTTTTCTGTATGATTGCTGGGCGTGAAGTACTTTTACAATCGACGGCTGTGGCCCTTACGTAGTGTATCACACCTGCGAAATCCTGCGAACTGCTCTCGGCAAGAAAAGGCAAAGAGACCAAAGACCGGTTAGTGGTGGAGAAAGCTAGCAAAGAATGAACTACAACTACGACCTATTTCTAGAATTGGAAGATATTGGAAGCACTTACCAGGGCTAATGACAGTAATGCATTCGTCAGGCCTAGGATGTTTGGCATTTGGCCAATCCAATTGCAGAAACCTCCTCTACTCTCTGAAGTGTCAATCTCCGACCCCGAGGTCAACGCCATGAAGTCAAAACGGCCCTCCTGCGCATGGAGGCAGGTCGCAAATGAGCAGAGGGAGTCAGAGCCATACAGTGCCCAAACTCTAAATGCTTCACGGCAAACATCATGGCTACTCTACCCCCACCCCCCTACACCCAGGCCCTGTTGAAACCTATGTTCAGACACTAGTAAGGCCTTAGCAGTTCTTCCTCTTGACATGGGACAGAGCCTGGGAGTTCCGGAAGTGGTGGACCGTGCAGACAGACAGCGTGGACCGTGGCCAGACAGCGAGGGGCATCGGTACCATCGCCCAATGCCCCAACGCGCCCCATCGACCTGCTGGAGGGCTTCTTTGGTCTGACCTACCTGGAAGGCTTTCACCCCAATGAGAATCTTCCCTCCAAAGAACTATACGCCACAGAACACGGTTTGGATAGGGGGTGTCCCATTTCCTGTAACAGTCTATCAACGATGATCGTATTCTTGTTTAAGAAAGGCCTTTAATCAAGCATCATCCACTGGGCCCCAGGGAATGGGATACCGAGTGACACATTTGGAGCGCCTTCGAGGCCGACCTTCCCCACCGACCGTCCGGACCGCCACCGCTGGTCGATCCCGTCGAATCGCACGGATCCGCAGATCCCGGCGGAGCAGCCTGAAGAGCTCTTCGACATTTTGGACGAGGAGGGCGGGTCGAGCGTCTTGGGTCGAGCGTATGCCCGGTTCGCCGCCACGAGCGTATCGAGTCGCTGCGGCGGTTGTGAAGGCAATGAAAGGAGTCCAACAGAAGCTTACAGGAAGCAACTAGGGATCATCAGATGTCAGAGGCATTTGTTGATGAACGGAATCTTCCTGACCGAAATAGCACCAAGCAGATTCAATCCCTGCAGGTCAACGGTTTGATCACATTTGACTGGAGTTCATCATACAAACCAAAATTAGCATATATACATCCCTGTGCGAATTTCCTCTAAAAAATAGGACAACCCGGGTTCGAGAGCGAATTGGAAGGGGGATCTATATACTCATGTTTCGTTTGTTTTCAGAAGCACGTTTGGAGCTGGGTCCGGTCCTGGACCTTATAGGGGCGGAGAACATGTTCTTCGCTCGGCAGGATAACCTGGGGCAGATCACCTTCCTGCAGTTTCACGAAAGCGTGAAGTGCCTTGGTTGCCTTGACCCATCAGGGTGTCATTCTCGATTCACACCTGATCAAGTTTTTGAAGAAGTTCACCCATGGTATTTGGACCCTCCAGACCCACCCCAAACAACTTCTCAGAAGGCACGACTGGAGCGCACATTGGGCAAACATGCAGTTGAAACAAGCCTGCAGTCCTTCTTTCCTTCTGCCAGTCGACCTCCAAGAAAGTGGATTTTTGGGGACCCAAGCATGGAGCAAGTGATCGATCAAAGATGCGCTTGGTGCGCGTGATGCTCAGAAAGGCTACGTGGTATGGTTGAAGATGCTGGGTCATGCATCGTGGTGATGCTGCTTTCCGCACGTTGGTGATTGGATGTGATTGGCTGTTTCAACGGTCTCGAGGATGTGCTGGTAAGATGACGCAATTTGGTGGATCAAGATAACTTTTGTGGAATTGTCGGGCGGGGCTGGACACAGCTTGAATTGTCCTCGGACACCCCTGGACGGTGTAAAACGACACCGCATGCCTGAATGATGCTTCGAAGCCTATATATAGTGGTGTGTGACTCATTCTACAGAGGGGCGGATTGCGGCTTGAGAGATGCATCACCAGTCCAGAAGCCCTCATGAATTGGGGCAGACCCAGGTTGCAGGTGTTTGTAGAGGATGTTTTTGCAAACTCCTATGGGACGGCCAAAGGAGCCTTTCTGGATATGAGGGCGGCCTGAGTTGCTAGAACCCAGAGCGAAGTCCCAAGCTTTAGAAGGGTGTGCTGATCCAGGGCTACAAGAAGATCACAACATTTTGTCATGTCCTTTAATTCTATTTCTATGCACCTGGCAAAGTGGCTAGCGGCCCTGGACATGACAATCCACCAACCACAACCGTACGCTTGGCGTTCAAGACCAACACTCACTAAGTAGTGTTCAATGATGATGATGATGATGATGATGATGATGATGATGATGATGATGATGATGATGATGATGATGATGATGATTCTGATGATTCTGATTCCGTGGGTTCCTTCAATACGCACCAAGTCAGCTGGGGACCGATTTCTACTCCTGCTCCACGTGCTTTCCCCTCCATGCTCCGCGTACAACGCTCCAGGAAGGTGCGAGGTGTGCCAACGGCGTTTGACATGAAGGCTGACGGGATCGTTCGCCCAGGTGTGTCAGAGATCAAGGCCAAGTGACCAAGCGTGTGTTATTTTCTTTTCAGGATCCGAACATCGTATTTTTCGTTTTTGGGGGGGGCAGCTAAGTGCTGGAAAGGGGACACCGGTGTGTTCTTTTTTTTCCTGTGGTGGTCCCGGCTATCGTTATTGATCTGGATGTTGCACTCCAGGCAGCCTCCAGCCTCAAAGTCCCTTGCAGGTGCTTATCAGCCAATTGAAACGAAGGCCAAAGCGGCTAAAAAGAGGTCCTTTCTGTGCTCCTTTTGATTCTGCGGAATCATGCGTGCCCAGTGCAGGATTTGCATGAGCCTGAGTTTTGAGGACAATTTGGACATGGATGTCCGTTGGCGCCAACGATGGCTTCAGTGTTCAAGGGGCTCTTGACCCATCTCTAAGAAGAACGTGAACCAGGTTCAACTATATTATAGAAAAAGCGAGAGAGGATGACGGGTTTCAGAGTAGATGGCACGAACCCCAAGATGCTTATTTTAGACGGGTGTCCATGTCTACTCCGAAACCTTATAATATAACAATGTCACAATGTCCTCTCTTTTGCTGAGCTTTCGGAGGGTCAGGCGGCGCTTGCTATTTGCGACGAAATATAGGATGAACAAAAAGAACAAAGGATCCTCATCGACGAGGTTTTTGTCCCTGGAAAGAAAAAGAGCGTAAACCTATACCCGAATCCATCGAATACCAGGCGCGCATTGGAAAGAAAGACAGATCCTCCATACCAGGGATTCCCCGGTGACTCGGCACGGTATCACAAAGACCCCCAACCAAAAGCTGCACGGTGGCACTGGCCGTCGATTCCGCTCGCTGGCTTTATGGGCAGAACATGATGGTCTCCGTCTCCGACATCTTGCGCCGGCAGAACCGGCTGCAGACGCAATACGAGCGGTCGCTCGCTCACTTTCGTGCGGTCCGCCACGGGGGTCGGAGTCCTTGCGGCGAGGGAAAGCAACACCGGTCACCCCAAGCGTTTGGTACGTGGTCGTTCTCAGGCAAGGAACATGTTTGGAGCCATAGTAGGTTTTAACATGATTTAACTTCAGAAGGTTATTTTGCAGCAGGATGACCAGCCCGAACCGATGTCACAAGTGCGGAGGTTTCCCCTGTGCCTTCTTCGTGTTTGGCTTAGGGGGGTCCAATGGGAAACCTGAGATCCAATGGAAACAACGGCCATCAGAACCATGCACCGCGTCTGTACGATGCAGGATATTTGGATATATTTGGGCACCCTCCCAACGTATATATGTAAATTATTTTATGTCAGTCACTGTACAGTGTGTTTTGTTATACATTTATATAAATATAAACTATAGTATATAGATAGCAACCCAGGCATTGGAGGAGTTCTCCCATCCAGGTGGGTGGTATGTTAGTCCGTTTCAGGAGAGGGCAAGCCTTCAATGGTAGGCGACCAGGAAAACAATCTTTGGGGCTTTGAGCAGTACCGTACGGCAGCCACTGGTGGGTGGCTCTTGAAAGCCACCAGTTGCTGACGCCTTGAAAAAGCCCAGTGGAGTGAGAGCAGCCCCTTGGAGTGAGAGCTGGTGAACTAGCGAGAGAGAAGCTCAGGAGATGCAGAAGCGAATCGTCGGTCGAAGCTCATCGGCTCAGCGCGCCCAGGACAGAACAGATCATTTATGCCATCTTTGGCAAGACCCCACCAGCTCCTGGGAGAGAAAAGCCGTCGAGCGGCACGAGGAGTTGGCGTTTGAATTTGTCAGACTGAACATATCACTCCTGTACCAGGACGGTCATACCACATCAAAAGTACGGTGCTCATTAAAGGGTTTGGCTTCGTTTAATGGAATCCTGCTTGTGTCATCTACTGGTCCTTTGACCCCCGGGACGTCGGCTTCTGTGCGGCTATCTTCGCCACCCGAAACGAGGCTCGTACGCAAGGGCGGCTCACCTCTATGGACATGCAGGTGGGGGACCGTGAGGTGGTGGTCGTTCCGTCCTTAGATACTGGAAGTGGGAGGGTGCCTATTTTCTCGGGGCCCGGTCCTGCCGCAGAAGAGGTCCTACCCAGGAAACAGTGCAACACATGGCAAAAGCCTGTTGCTTGGTTCGTGGGCTCTTCAGCCCACGAACATCCAGCTGGACAGTTCGGTGAACCATGTTCTGCAACGGCGGGGCTGAGCCCTCCACCTCCATCCTCGAGACTGGAGATCCGTCCTGGAGACTGGAGTCCTCGGGCCGATGAGACACTCAGAAGATCCAGGCTATGGCAATCCCCGACGGTGTCTGTGCCAGTGGTGTCAATCCACTAGAGTTTGTTTGTAAGGATTGAAGAGGTCGACCTCGTATATTGGTGTAAAAAAGGCCATATGGTCCATTTTCTTGAGGGGGAAAGCTGAGCAGCCCAGCGACCCAAGCGGCGCTGGGGCGACCAGGATGCGGCCAATATCGCCCTACTACAGCGGAAGTCGGGAGCCGGGACGCCCGGTGAAGAGCGGGCGGAGGGGGAGGGGGGAGACATGGAAGAACGGGGCTTTCAGGATGAAACGAGGAGCAAATCTATGCCTGGAGCCCTGAACACTTGCTATTGTGATGTGATGTTCGCTTGAGGAAGCCTCTACAGGTATGTACAGGTATGTACAGGGCACAGGAGTTAATCTGAAGGGTGAACGGGTGTTTTTTTAAAGAGATTTTGGAACATGGGAAAGGTACGAACATCAATGGGACAGCTGGAGATTGGATCGTGGAGAGATGCGCTTCTTGAGCGAGCAATGGTTGTTTTCGCCAAGTCATCGGAGCAAGTAGGTTCCGTTCCATCAGGAAGCACAAGAAAGACCAGCCTGAGCGTTTCATGTCGGGGTTGGTGCAGAAAACAAAGACCCATTGGCCCATCACTAGACAATGAAGTTTGAGTGAGGTGAATTATATTTTCCTAGCTTGCATCCCTTCCCCCAAAAAATACAGTTGAGTATAGTTGAGTGTAAAACCTCCAAGAACCCCACCCCAAAAGAACACCCCTGTGGCCGCACTCCCCGGTCTGGTCCGCACCCCGTTTCCCGCACATGTCCGCCTCCGCTTCGGCCGTACTGGCCAGTTCGCCGCGCGGGCGCAGCTGAAGCGCGGTGGGTCGATGGAGTCGATGGAGAGCTGCTTCACCTACGCCACGGAGAGCCTGGGCCGACCCGCCACGCGGCGTTTCCGCCACGGAGGGCGGGAAGGGGTATGTCGGGGTGCGGTGCGCCAGTCCGGAAGGCAGACTTGACTCACCGGTGGGTCGGCCGGTGGTGGAGAGAGGAAAAGCCATGAAAGACATATTATAGACTTTAATCATGCATAATTATATATCATATTATATCGTATAATATTATACGTAGTTCCCTTTGAGGCCCCCTAAAGACAATTCTTTTGAACTATACTAGTCTTTGACTCTCAGGGAATACAGAAAAAGAGAGAGAGAGAGAGAGAACGAGTCCACAAGGTTTTTGCAAGAAGTGGGCATGGGGTGGGCCAGGATGTCATTCTAAGCTGATTGCAATTTTAGGCGCGTGTAACTGTACCAGGTAGTTGTTGCGGATTGTGGTGCTGGAGGGTTGGCGCCTTCTATTTCTCAAGGCAAGACACATCAGAACATATCAATGCCCAGCAGCACGGTCGAATGGGGTTTTTCAAAATCCACGGTCGACATCAGCTTAGACGGCGCAGGTCCTGCTGAGTCCTGCGTTGTGCTGAGTCCAGTAAGATCCAAGCTGATCCAGTACGTCCATGTCATGTAAATCCTCAGCATGTGAATTATCATGCATTTTAATGACTCAATTGGACATATTGGAAACATCTGGAAATAAAACATTGGACACATCTGAGAAAAAGAACATCTCAGTCTCATGTGCGTTCCGCGAAATGGTGGAATTTGTCTACCCCAATAGGCTCCTTCTAGGCCAAGTCCATGAGGCCTCAGCTGCCTCGCCCAAGTCCATGAGGGCGGAGGACCCGCCGCTGCGATCTCCGGCGGCGCGTTCCGTTGAGTGCACTTCTATCCCTGCTGAGGTGGCAAACGGCCATCCATACGATGACACTAGGATACAAAATGATACACAGTAATGTAGACTTCCAATTCAAATGGGGGAGTGTATTAGTCAAGAGTCTACATTAAGAATGACTTGGGGTTGAATCAGGAAGGTGGCCTTGTCCATTCTTGTCGCTATGTCTCAGGGATATGCCCTTGCAGGATCAATGGCACTAACCCATTTTACTCATGTTTCTCATCAGATAGTGGAGCATGCAAGGATCTCGTGCACCAGGTAGGCTGGCGAGCTTGAACACTATGTAACTATTTATCTTTATTGCATGTGGTTCTCCCTCTCTCTCTCTATATATATATTGTTCGTATTTTTCAGAGCGTGTCTGTCTTGGGCCCCAGCACCAGCAGCAAGACTTGGCAACTAGGTTGATGATGGTGACATGTGACTTCTGATTTTGCTTCAGGTGATTCTTGATGTTCCCTGTGGGTGAAGGCACCCCGGTCAGTATTTTTGCAAATCCAAGAATCCAAGCGTTCAGGAATCAGATGGGATTAGGGGGTGTATCCCATTGCCAACAACAGCTGGTAAAGGATAATCACTTGCTATTTGGGTGAAAGGGCATCATCATCATCATCATCATCATCATCATCATCATCATCATCATCA